TTCTGTTGATTTTCTCAACAATGTTTGGCAAGTAAGAGACAAGATTTCTGACATAATGGTAGGTATGAGTACCAGCCTGCAAAATTGATCAACACCTGCTGTTTACCTTTTCCAAACATAAAAATGTAGAAATTCCTGCGGAAGTGTGAATTACAACATTTGTTTTCTCATTAGTCGGGCGTCATATGTCATGATATCCCTCACAGGCATGTCCATAGTGCCAAGTGTGGCACAAACATCATTTTAGTTAACAAAACTTTGAAGCTGTGTTGCTGTAAGTAGTGTGAAAACCAAGTGTCAATTTTCCTCTTCCTCAACAATATTTCTAATGTTTTCATCCCAAGATAGTTCAAAAGAATTTGATGCAAGTTCATTGCACCATATCATTTAGTCAGCTTTCTGAAACATCTCTGTTTCTTCTGAGTTCTAATGCAACCCTGGAGATGTAGGATGGTAATTTCCGTGTCAGACATGGGGTACAGCAACAAGGGGATAAATGGATACTAAGGTAGCAATGAGACTATGAATGCTATGACAGGATCTTTGACTCACAACGTTTCGACTATGAGTCTTCTTCAGGAGATAACCATGGTCATCAAGTTCAGTTTTGTTGATACAATTTCAGCTGAGCTTGTAAATATCCTTCAGTTGTCCAAAATTGCTTTCTTCATTTGTTAAAATCTCTGAGGTCTTCCATTCAAACACTTGATTGGACATATAGTTTTCCATTAATGTCTTATTTGTAATCAATGACAGTGTCTGATAATTACTTTATAAACCTGTCATGGGAGGTTACGTAATATGTAAACAGGCTACCTCTGACCAAAATTTCCCAACAGAGAACTTCTGTTCCTTGACATGATGTTTCCATGCAGTCTTGTTGGTCAATACTGTTTCTGCTGTGATGGTCAGGTTAGTTACAGGTGAGAAATATGTAACACAGCTGGGGAAGGTACGTTTGCCTTCTCATCACTGACAATGTCAAGGTGAAATAAACAAAATCGTTTACTATCAGAAACTGAACAGTGTGACTCAGACTATTAATATTTTGTAAAAGGGCTTGTTCCCAGCATGCTGGCTTCACATAACAAATAACAAGTACTTATGTTGGACCCCATAAACTTCAAAACCACATCTTCCCTCTCCCACAACTTGCCCAATTGTTTGGTGTGATACATTTTGAAGTTCATGATTTTATATAAAGCCTAGAGTGTATTCTTACCTTTGGTTTCATGAAATTAAACACTTTACTACCTACAGGTTCCTTCATTTTCATATTTTTTGTGGCCCTGTTGAAGATGACACGAAACTGAAGCGTACAATGATGCTTCATTTTTTTCCTGATCTATTTCCAACCTGACATGTGTGTTCTGCACTGCCGTCTGTCACGCGCCTTTCTCATGGTAAGCTGCATAAGCATTAATAAAATGCCAAAATAATTTTTCAGCCAAGTTGTGCACTGTGTTCTGTTATTTTGATACATACTTCAACAAATCGGAAAACGTATCCACTAATGATTGAGTGGCCATCTTGTGTGTATTATTCTTGTGTAATGTTTTGTTGTATACCCACGCTGATTTGATAAAAACTCCAGAATGTTTGAACAATATACTACATTAAACAGCACGCCACAATAGTGACATAACAATATAATAACTCCAAACATTAGGAACCTAATATTCCAACAACATTATTCAATCTGACAATGCCAGTTTAAGAACCCCATTTTTTCAGTATAACCCTGTTTGTTTGTTGTTGTAATAAAAAAAAAGAGGCCGAATTCGAAGAATGTGTTGATTGGTTGTACCATGTAATTGACCATTTCCTACAATCTTGTTTGTTACTCTTTCTTCCAAGACACCGTTACAACTATATCAAGTGTGACACACCCAGAGTCCAGTTTTATGTAAATCTAGATGCCTCTTGGGTTGTTGGGTGTATACGCAATGTTAATTCACAAAATTATGTAAAGTTATACAGGTTATGGTCGTTCAAATATTAACAATGTTTTATAGGCAGGACTAAGTTTTATGGAAGGTATTTCATAAATAAATTGAAATAACTGCATAATTTATTGGTGTGGATTTATTCAGAAATGATACGTTATAATCCTCACTGCCACTAGAAAAGGGTTCAGTTTCACAACTCTAATAGATCAGAAATGATACGTTATAATCCTCACTGCCACTAGAAAAGGGTTCAGTTTCACAACTGTAATAGATCAGAAATGATACGTTATAATCCTCACTGCCACTAGAAAAGGGTTCAGTTTCACAACTCTAATAGATCAGAAATGATACGTTATAATCCTCACTGCCACTAGAAAAGGGTTCAGTTTCACAACTGTAATAGATCAGAAATGATACGTTATAATCCTCACTGCCATTAGAAAAGGGTTCAGTTTCACAGCTCTACTAGATAGATCCAAGCTCTACAAAACCACATGGAATCACTAACAAAAAGACTGAAACAACTCGAAATTTTCAAACGACACATAAATGCGTACACAACCTGTGAAGTAGCAATTTTTTTAATTTTAGTTTTGTTTATTGTTTGTGTATGTTTCTTTACATTACTCAGTTCAATTACATTTTTATTTGACTTATGAAAACACTAGCTCATGTGCCTTCTAGTGTATATTAAATATTAAATGTGTCAAACCAAAACAACGTTAACCAAGCAGCGATGAATTGATACTAAGTTCATGTATAATCATGTAAAACAAATTCTAAGTTGTAAGTCATGATATATGTAATTTCGTAGATTGGAAAGGAAATAAAAAACCTATGATCTGAAGTTATGCAAGATTGTCGAGAAGAGTTAGTTAGACTAAATATCAAAGCTATATTTGTTGATTAATATACAGATTATTGCACATACTCACTTGATCGTTATTTGTGATATTTTTAAAGAAATGTTCTTTTGTACAATTATTTTTTTTCTTTTTCCTAATTCATTGTTATAGTTATTATTATTTTGAATATTCGTAGCTGCATCTGAGATTGAGATATTTAGTTACACAGTTACTGGCCAAGCATTACTTATTAATTATTGATTGCTGGTTGTTTGTAAAACTTGTATTGTGTCTTTAATAAACTTTTAAATTTATCTTCCCTGGTAATAAAGAGGTTGTTTTATACGTTACAAACCATCAGCGGTAACTTTCTGGACGTACAATGCTAAAATACAGTTCGATCCTCTGCGGTCAGCAGAGTATAAATAACCCATTGTGTAGCTTTGTACTATGGAAACAACAACAACGTTACAAACCGACAAATTCCTCCCTCCTTTGTACGCTTTGGAAAACTTTCAATGACCTATAAGCATTTTCATTTCCGCACGTATAAACAGTTATCCCATGGGGGGTCAGCAGTAAACTTACCAAATTAAAATACTAAAATCCGAGATTCGATTCCCGGCAGTGGACAGAGCGCAGATAATTCATTGAGTAGCTTTGCGCTAAAGCAGAACGCAGATAGACCGAAAAGTTCAGTCGTTTTTATGTTCTAAGTTATAAAACCCAGCATCACGTCTATTGCAACGAGATTTGAAACGAGAAATAATCATTGCTCCTAATAATAGTGTTAGAAATAATTTCCTATTTTCTGTAAAGGAGCTTAAATATTTTCTTTTTACTCATAGAAATATATAAATGATATCGAGAACAATTTAGTTATTATATGTCAGCTTTTTTTACAAAAGGTCGTGACTTTGAAACTAAGTTCGTTTTTCTCCTTATTTTGCATAATGATCAATTTCTTTCTGAACGCACGAACAAGAGTGATGTCCTCCTTAGGGAAAAGTTAGTAGACTTGGACGGCTTGAGAACGGTTGATTGATGATGTCCCTCTAGAATGGAGCGTCTTGTATTTAGCTTTGCTAGCACTCATGCAAGAGACTGGAAAGTGTCATGACCAGCCGATTTTTTTATGCTTGTATAGGTAACTCAAGAATTTTGGTACTTTACTTCCGCCTATACGTTCTGAAATTGTGCCCAGGGTACGAAGTAAGAAAATTAATTAAAATAAGAAGACGACAACGTTTTATAAAATGATAAGTTTAAGTATCATCAAGCTAATGGAGAATCCCAAAAGTTCAGATCATGTATACGTTGAGAAACAAGGAAGAAGCAAAAGTAATGTTTCAGAGTTGGTAGCTGCGCAGTTTAGGATAAGGGGGAATCATGGATATGAAGTTAATATCACCCGAAAGGTGGTTCTCGTGATAGTTAATGCCAGATCTCGGGGATATCAGTCCGAATAAACTCCAATTATCGCTTTACTTTGTGTGGACAGAATAAGACAACAAGTGAACCAACAGAACAATTTTGATACTTCACCAAGTCGTAACAATAAGTGTTGTCACGTCTAGTCTTGCTCAATCTGATGACCGTGTACCTTGACAATATGCCTGCAGCGTAGTTTTCATTCCAAAAGGCTCCATCGCAAGGCTGTTATGTCTAAAACACACCAACCCGTCCTTCACGTTTTCCATAATCTATCTAGTGTACAAACACGACAGTTTACTATTTCCTGTTTTATCAGTTCAATCGCGTCGCGACTGGCAACTTGACCGGTATGTCTTCTCATGCAATATCATGAATATTGGTTTCATTTTCGTACTGCTCGAGTTATGTGACGGGTAGTATAGCTGGATGCCTTATCTTGGTGACATTCTATCGGCTGTAGCTGCAACGGGACTTGCTTATTTGCATGTGCAAAATCGTTTTAATATTATGTTATCTCATGTCTGTATTCCCTGGTACTCGAAGAGTCATTTTTAATACATTTAGAACTGTAGAGGCAACGAAGAGAAAATCTGGACCATAATATTAATAGAGAATTAGATATAGAAGTTACTAATAACTCATGCCTTTTCACGTAACAAGATAAAGGACTTGTGGAATGAGCTCTAACCCGTTTCGAATATGTATGCGAGATTAAATATGGTACATATGAGTAAAGAATTTAAAGCCAAAGCTTCATTTTATCATCAACAATAACTTTATTTGTCAACATTTAGACAGTTTATCATTAATTTAAATGTGAACTGAATCTTTGCTCTAAATGTGATATTTTTATGAATAAAACTCAAGCGTAGTGTTCTAGCAAACATGTTGTAGTTGACAATATCGTACAAGTTACAAAAATCAATAAAATTACTAACAATGTACCAGCACTTACATTGTCAGGAACATCTTAGAAAATTCTGGTCTCGAATGTCCTGGTAGTTGGGGCACTCGACTTGCAATCTGCGAGTCACAGGTTCGAATTTGATTACTGAACCTACTCGCCCTTTCAGCCGTGGAGGCTTTATAATGAGACGGTCAATTCCATAATTCGATTAGTGTTGCCCTTGACTTCTGGTGGTGTTGGCTTGTTGCATTTAAAATCAGAAATGGCCTAGCGCACATAAAACTCTCAAGTAGTCTTTAGCGTTCAAAACAAAGCAAGCTCCACATTTTGACGGGAAATATTTTAACAACTCTCATTAAAAACAGAAATACCTTAAGAAAACTTCTACACAAATATTGCTTTTCTTAATGAGACTTCTTTAAATATTTTTTTTAAACTGAAAATGTGATGTCGTTTTTGTTTTTTTTACGAAGTTTTGGGGATTTTTTTTCTCACACTGAACAATTAAGTTGTGGCATCTTCAAAATGAGGAACCGTTTTTCAAACACTTTAAAATGTTCACCGTAATCCGTTATTGTCATTTCGGAATTAAATTGCGTTCTACAAAACCCGCAGAAAACTTCAAACATAAATTATCAGCAGTTTATACACAGTTCTTCAACAACATCTCACACAAGTTAAGTAAGTTGATATTATTTGAAACTAAATAACTTAAGACAGACTATGCTTTAGTTCATTGTTTCGTAATCATAAACTCCTTTACCCAAGAGATCTTTAGAGGTTAATCTGTAGATTATAAGTTCAATCTAATGCCGAAAGAGTTTTACAACAAACTCGAGTAAAACCTGACTGTTACTACGATGCAAGTTTTCCGGTTTCTACAATAGAGAAAAGAATGAAATATATTACACGTTACTTCAAAAATATAATTTGATGACTTTAGACAATCATAAAGTGAGCGTTATATTGGTTTTTACTAAAGACCGCGATATATGTTACATAAATTCGTATAATGCAACTTTTTCTAACAAGAAAACTATTTAAATTACACGATTCTCATCCCGAAATTTCTCTTTGAAGGCTAAGCGCGTTGAAAGTATTAGAGTCTTCAAAGATAAATTTTCTCGTTACAATATCTTCAAACTAGGAATGCAAAAAATAGTTATATACTGTATTTATAATGTTCGTTTATGTTTAGTCACGAAGTGTTTTATGCCTCTTATCGAATATTCACATCACAAATCATTTACAACGTGATGCTTTGGCACAATCAATTAACATTTGCTTAAAAAATTACATAACTATACAGGTTTTGCCCCGATCTCGAATTTCTTCTTTTACATCAACTTTACAGTTTTGTCGCGGAATATTCGAATGATTTTTGTTGAGTTTCCCCAGGGCTGCAAGTGCTGCTACCTCGAAGGCTTCACAAGAACTTCGCCCAGTTTGTCTAGAAGTAGTTTCAACATATGTCGTAGCTCCAATCTGTCGAGACACCACAAGAGCCTAAAAGTAAAAAGTGGTTTGAATTAAATCACTGAATAAATTTTACGATTTGTTTTATCTTATTTTAAAAGCATCAAGTTTGAAGTACAGACTTTCTTCGGTAATATTTTCTCAAACGAATAGATTTTCTGATGACTATTTATAAACTCCTGCTTAAATCCCAACCTTAGCCTAAAGAATACTAAAACAAAGTACCAGTTGTTGTTGTTGTTGCATTTAATTGATTTCATATAAGTATTCATTAAAATAAAAACAAAACTTCGTTGATAATGATTTTGCCCTTTAATTGTTTTTCAGGAGTTAAATCTTTACCTTTTGGGAACTCCTATTAGATGAGTAGAGTCTCATGACGACTAACAAGTAAAAATCTACCAGTTATTAGAGGTTTACTTTCAATTAAGTTAACTCCTTTTGAAGTGGCCTGTTACAAGTGAAAATCATTGGCAATTAACAAGTGATATTTTGTTTTTCTAAAAATCCAGTCACTTGTGGTATCTGATAAAAATTTCAGAGAAGACCACTTTTTTTTCAGAAATAGAATTATTTCAGTGAAAATCTGAACTTTCAGTTAGAAAAGCGAGCCCATGATCTATAAGTGATCTTTTGTACATCACATTCCACTATCGGAAATATCTTGTGCTCAGTGCTGGTGCTTATCAAGAGAATCAGCCAATTGATGACGTGTTGAAGAACTTCTAAAGTTTTCCTAAAATACAAATGAATGACATAAAATGCTAAAAATTTTGAAGAAGCAAGCATAAAGCTCAATATCAAAGAAGAAAATTGATTTTATCAAAGAAACGATTCTGGCTTCCTCACTTCGAACTCGCACAAAATAAAATAAGAATTACCCAATATATTAAAACTCCGTTCAAATTATTATTTTCAATTTATTGGAAACCTGGATGAGCCTGTTAGAATTTTGTTATGGACTGAATCAAAGAAGTTTCCGTGATATTTGTAAACTTTCAAAGTTCATATGCTTCGGTACTTTGAAACCGTTCTTCTTCGTAAGCCCTCAGTTTACAAACGTAAATTTTACATTGTTTTAATAACAAGTAGTTGTTTTTAGTGTAAAGCTACACAATGGGCTGCATGTGCTCTGCCTACCACGGGGAATTGAACCCTGGATTTTAGAGTTGTAGTTCCATAAACGTATCGCTGACCCACCGGGGGCTTTTTATAGTAATTCTTCAGCAAGGCTATGTTACACTCCGATTCCTCTTTTAAATATTTTTGAATACTATTTATATTAATTCAAGAAAAAAAAAGTACCCGGATGGTGAAGAATAATAGACCATATCCTCTCTTTCGCCCATTATGTCATCTATTGATTTTTCTCTCTGGAAATTTGGAATTATTTAAAAAAATAATTCGATGTATTTGTAATCGACATAAACTTACTATATTTTACCACTAGTTTAAAACTGGATCTTTACAACAAGCCTTCCAATTTGAACTTAAAAGGATAATTGAAAAATAACAAAGTAGATCAAAATGCGGAGCAGAAAATATTATTGATAAATATTCTGATTATATGAAAGTTAACATAAACGTACCTGTTCTGAAGTGACCGGTTGCAGCTTATCTTTGGCTAATGAAGTTACAGTATCCAAGTCATTTCGCAAGTCACACTGACAACCACAGAGGATGACGGGAACCTCAGCGCAGTGCTGACGAATCTCTGGGTGCCACTAGAATATCGAATAATACCACAAGTTGAGATATCCACATATACAATAAAAAGAGGGGGGGGGATTCAAGAAATCAATCCATGTACAGTTAAAAGTGTAAATGCCTGTTCCGTCACATTGATTTTTTCTTGCATACAAACGATTTGATGCATTTTATATCTTCGTGACACTTAATGACGTCACAGTAGCGTTATTGAAGGTTTAGTGTTGGCGTGATTGGGTAAAAGTATGCAAATTACCAAAAGGTAATCTTTGGTGTTTGTTTTTTGAGCGCAAAAGTGCATAATGGGCTATCTGCGCTGTGTTCACTGAGAATATCAAAACCCGACTTTTAGTGTTATAAGCCCTTAAAAACTTACTGATGAACCAGCGTAAGGTGTGCGTGCGTGTGTGTATGGTGGGGGGGGGGTAGCATATTAGATCTTGTTATTAAATATTTGTATTATAAAAATGGAAGGGTGAGCGACCTGTAAAAACGGACATTTAATAGCTGTTAGCGACAATTTGTTATTAATGTAAAATGAACAACACACTTTACCCAACCTAAACACATGAAATTCTCCAACCATAGGACATTTCTCTTAACAATGAATTACACACTTTACCCCACCCAAACACATTACATTCCCCAACCATAGGACATTTCTATTAACAATGAATTACACACTTTACCCCACCCAAACACATTACATTCCCCAACCATAGGACATTTCTATTAACAATGAATTACACACTTTACCCCATCCAAACACATTACATTCCCCAACCATAGGACATTTCTCTTAACAATGAATTACACAGTTTACCCCACCCAAACACATGAAATTCCTCAACCATAGGACATTTTTCTTAACCATTTGTCTGCCAGTGGCTTATTGTGAAACTTGAGGGCTTATAACGTTAAAAATCGGAGACCCAGACCCATGGTGGACATATTTCTGTTAGCCCATTGTGCAGCTTTGTGATAAAAAACAAACAAACAGACAGATCTTGATCATTTATTGTACACAATTCAATAGTAAGTTAACTTCTCTACAATGACCGGTAAAAGCACGAGCCTTCGTAGGCCTAAAGTGACCCGTTCATATGACTAAGTGCTTACAAAACTTAAAAAGAAACAAATAAGAAAAATTGTTATGGCCGAAATTATTCGAAAAAAAGGGGATAAAAAAAGACTTCTTCTTACCAGTATTTGAAATAAACACTTATGTATGCTTGATCTTGTATCAAGAAAGAAATGTCACCTACCGTGACCTAGTTTTACAAATTAATCTTTTCGTATGCGAGCGCCATTATAAAACACCAATGAAAATAAAAAGTTAAAAAAAGTGTTCAAAATGTGTGTACTTTCTATTTTTTAAGTGTCCAGTGGTATTAGTGAAAGAAATGGTATTTGCTATGTCCTTTTAACATGTGTTATGTCAATAAATTAAACTTTAGGAAAGAAGGACTTATCAGCCAAGGAGAATAGGGTACTGACATTTAAGCACTTACTTTTCCTTGTGCGAATGAATAGTCGAAAATAATAATAATAATAATAATAATATATATATATATATATATATATATATATGCCTAATTTTTATCCAAATTCTAGATTTCAGAAAATTTCACGATAAATCACTCAAGCAAGTGAATATTACAGTAAGTAAAAAGTACAAACTTTTTATATATCACCTCTCTACGATATATCTCTCAACAAGAAAAGTCTTTGACGCATCAGTGTACGTGGAAAAATAGCTCTTTCCATTACTTACCCTGGCAGCTGTGTTATTTAAAGATTCTGGGTCAACAATCGAAAAACACAGGAGGAAAACAGATGCATCTTTGTACGCAAGAGGGCGCACAGTGCCATATGCTGATGCTCCTGCAACATATAAACGAACTACATGAAGGCAAAGTAATCGAGTAAATGAACTAAGAAAATGAGAGGAGTTAATCTTTAACTAATAAATACAGCTGTTTGTAATAAAGCGTAGTTCTTTAATTGATGAGAATTATGGAAATGGAGAGGAAAAGAGTTTAGAAGGAAAATACTATGGGGATTACACCCCTTTATCATTTGAAAATAAAATGCACAGGGTACAATCACATAATGATGTTTTACACTGTGGCTAGCTGTCATCCAGCCAATTAGAAAATGTCATAAAAGTATAAAGCCTATAAAAATACAGACAGTCATACCAAACCAAGTGGTACTAGCGTACAGTGCCTTGCAAATGTATTCACCTCCTACCAATAATGTGACATTTTGATGAAATACAAATAATGTACATTTTTTTAATGAACTTGTTTTTATTCAAAGCTCTAATGATCGAACTTAAAACTGTTATGTGTGAAGGAGGTTGAATGTCAGCAAAACCTGCAAAGAAAATATATATATAAATTGAAGTTTACTGATATAAACTGAAGTTTGCTGATTGCATAAGTATTCAGCCCCCTAAGTTAGTACTTGGTGGAAGCATCTTTGGCAGCAATTACTGTTATGAGTCTTTTTGGACAAGTTTCTACCAGCTTTGGACAGTGGGATGGTGTAAATATTGCCCGTTCTTCCTGACAAAATTGCTCCAATTCTGACAAGTTCGTTGGGGATCGTTGATGGACTGCAATCTCCAAGTCTCGCCATAAATGTTTCATCAGATTCAAGTCAGAACTTTGACTGGGACACTCCAGGACATTCACTCTCATCTTTTGAAACCATTCCAGTGTGGCTTTGGCCTTGTGCTTTGGATCATTGTTCTGCTAAAATGTGAAATTTCGGCCCAGTTTTAGATTTTTCATTTTGAGATTCTTGGCTGACTCAAGCAAATTTTCCTCTAGGATTCGCCTGTACTTTACACCTTCCATTTTCCCCTCCATCCTGACAAGTTCCCAGTCCCTGCTGATGAGAAGCATTCCCATAACATGATACTGCCACCACCATGCTTGACAGTTCGGATGGTGTTGACTGGGTGATGTGCTATGTTGGGCTTGCGCCAGACGTAACGCTTTGAATTTAGACCAGTAAGCTTAATTTTTGTCTCGTCTGACCACAAAGCCTTCTGCCACGTGTCTGCAGTATCATTTAAATGCTTTATCGCAAACTCCATATGAGATTTAAGATGATTCTTTTTCAGTAATGGCTTCTTTCTTTTCACTCGCCCATACAGGCTAGCTTTGTATAGGGACCGGAATATTGTCGATGTATGAACAGCACTGATTCCCATCTCAGACATGGAACTTTACAATTCTTGTCACTGTTGGCTTCACAGCGGCATCCCTAATCACTTTCCTGCTTGTCCGGCTGCTTATTTTGGAAGGGCGGCTTGATCTGGGTAGTGACTGGGTGGTATGAAGCACATTCAATTTCTTAATGATGGACTTCACCATACTCAAAGGGATAATCAGCGACTTTGAAAATTTATTGTCACCTTCTCCTGATCTGTGCTTCTCTACTACTTGATCCCTGACATGTTTGGAAATCTCCTTGGTCTTCATGGTTGGGGTGTCGTATTATTATGTGAGTTATGGCTTGAACAGATGCATTTACTCTGAAGTCAAGTTAAACTACTTTGAATGCACACAGACAGACTCTTTCAAACTAATTTTTTGCAGTTGAACTAATTTAGGGTTGTCGTAGCAAAGGGGGTTGAAAACTCATGCAATTGAGAATATTCTAATTTTCTTTGAAAATCTAATTTACTTACACAATGTCAGCATATTTTTAGCTTTCTCAGTTTGGACTAGATTCTATAGAATCTAAATATAAAGTTCCATTTCAAAGCTTCATGATTGCAAGCTCAGACTGCAACAAAATTTGGAACTTTACAGGGTGGTGGTGAATACTTTTGCAAGGCACTGTATAATTTGTTACTTTTTATCGTTACAAACATTAGTTTGTTTGTTGTTGTTTTGCTGTTTGACTTAAACAATATGTTAGTTGTTTAATGGCCTTTTTCTGGTTACAAGACGATGTTAGGGAGAATTATATGAATAGTATAGTAAAGTAACTATATTGATTACTGGGTTCGCTTTTAGTTCTTATATAGGTATATTCAGAAGCTAATATTAATTTCCTTGCCCTAAAATGACTTTGCAGTGCATTCGACGGTGAAAGGTTTTATTGTGCAATTTTTTTCTTATAAGAAGTTTTTATTTGGTTGAACAAAAGATTTTCATGTCAATCCGTTGATAGAAGTCAAACGTTTTATTGGTAGATTACTTGATAATCATCCAGAAGAGTCCTAATTAAATTATACTTGACAAATCAGCAAATCCTTTTGTTTAACGTTGTAAACACAAGTCTTGCGAGTCCAACGATCAGCTTGCATTACCCACGAAAACCATAATTTCTTATTTCAAATAAACCTTTAAAACTAACAAGTCCTTTCTCACCACACACCTCCTGGTATCTGTAGTTATTCTTTATGTATGGTGACTGACTTAGATTTTCAGTGTTAGTTTTGTTATTTGAAGTATATCACAAAGAACACCATTATATTTTATAGAAATGTGTGAAAAACATAATATTGTTACACTGTCACTTACGTTACAACCAGTCTTTTTTTTTAGTGCATTGAAATCTACCAATTTGCCCAAGTCTTTACTTCTAGGTTACAGAAGAAGAGTAACAAAAAACAACAAGTTTTTTACTTATTTATCGTAATTTGTAATCGGTTTCGAATACTTTCCAGGTAAGTGACCTACACACTTCAATACCACATGTTATCACTAAAATTTTCCAATATGTTATATATTCGAATTTTCAATATAAATCATTTCTGGGATACTCGTATTTTGTATTTTGTTTTCCTTTTGAAATAGTAGTCTATAAGTTAGTTTAATTGGCATCTGATTCAAGATGTCGTTAAATATCTATTTTTCAGTCATAAAGAACTAACTACGGGAACACTCAAGTGATACACACATATAGGAGTTATAAATAATGATTCATGGCAACTTAATGGGAAACTTATTAATGGTATAAAACTTTATCACAAAAGATATAAAAGCTAATAAGTTATACAATATGCTGGTACTCTGTACGTGGATCTTTTAACATCTTGTTCTCATGATGGCATACAATTTATAAATCTAAAATTGTGGAATATTCCTCAATATGTTCTGTATTATTCTTCACAATTTAACCAAATTATCTGGTTGCCTTTTGACCTTTCAATTATTACACTAGCCCATATAGCCTCAAAAATGTTCATATCAACATTTCCTAAAGGCCAAGCTATGGTCGTGAGTGCCCCATCAGCCTCGTTACCGTCAAGGTATTGTTTTACCAATAAATAGTAGAGTTATTTATACTTTAAATGAACAAAAAGTTAGTTTCCTTGCTTTTAATCGCAAAGCTTCACAATGAGATATTACTCTTGAGTTCACCACGGATGTAATCGAAACCCGGTTTTTAACTTCGCAAACCACAATCTAATTGCTGAACAACCAAAGAGCCAAGTAAAAGTACGAATAAATTAATCATAATAAAAATAACATACTATGAGTAGGTAGCCTGAAGTAGTAAATAAAGTTACATATTAGGTACTAGCTCGTGAATATATGTGCGAGAATACGATTTGAGAAAGGTAATAAGACTTAGAAAGAGAAGTAACAACAATGGTAAATATGACAATTAAGGTATTTAACACAAACTAATGTAACTTAATGTTGTTTGTTATATTATACATTATATTATATTAGTGCTTGCACTAACGGTGACGAGATTTGATCCCGCGACCCACAGGTTGCGAGTCGAAAGCCCTAACCACAGGTCCGCGAGATTTAAACCAGTCACCAAACGTGCTCGGCCTTTCAGCTGTGGGGGCGTTATAATGTAAAATTCAATTCCACTATTTGTTGATAAAAGAGTAGCCCAAGAGTTGTTGATGGGTAGTGTTGACTAGCTGTCCCCTCTTTAGTCTATCACTGCTAAATTAAGGACGGCTAACTTTGCGTGAATTTCAAAACAAACCAAACAATTAAATATTACCAAAGTATCAGAGTGGAATTACTAGTGATAATGAACAAAATAATAACGGTTCTTGTTTTTCATAATAAGGAGGAATGAGTACGTCATATTAAAACGATTTTAAATACGCAAATAAGCAAGTCACGTAACAACCACAGTCCATATAAAGTCGCAGCAGAACGCCATTTATCGGAACGGCATTTTTACATTTTTTGGCGTTATGTAGGTAGTGTGATGCCACCTAAAATTTATCTCTTTCGGGAAAAGTATCTAAGAGCCCCTCCCGGCGCAAATGTGTTAAAATTTCCATACACTCATATCATAAAAATGTGTTAAAATCAGGGATTTAGAATTTCCAAGACGAGTTTACCCCTTATACTTAATAGCATTGGAATATGGATTAACATGGGACACAAGGATCATTCATAAAGAGACCTCCAACAAGTCTGTAGTAAGCATAATGCGGCATCTTCTAAAAAATGAGTTTGTTTGTTTGTAATTAAGCACAAAGCTAGACAATGGGCTATCTGTGCTATGCCCACCACGGGTATCGAAAACCGGTTTGTAGCGTTGTGGCTGGGCTGTTGAAACAGGCATTGGGAAACCGTAGTTCTCGTACAGTAGATGGATTATAGAAAGCACTTAGGGAGAAACAGTGTACTTTGGATATAACAGCCTTACGATGGAGTTTTTGTTATGGAAACTATGCTTCAGGACTATTGTCAAGATGCACGGTTTTCAGAAAGAGCATGGACAGATGTGGTGAAGTGCACTGTAAAGCATTTGTTCATATACACCTGGAAAAAAGTTAAGCACCCCCGTGT